GTATTTGATTTTTTGGGTAATGTCCTACATTTTTGTCTCCTACATTTTATGGCGCCTTGTCCTCCTTTGCAGTTATCACATCTGGTCACCCTGGTTTCAGCTTCCTCTGAGGTGTGGCCGAGTGTGGTACATACTCCCTGCACATCCCCATTGATGCCTGTGATCCCAGCCACCGTTATCTTTCACAAGAGCAACTTTTTGTGCCCCAGATATTATCTTTGTGCTCTCATGCCCAGGCGAATGGCGGTTTAATGGCATCCCTCATTCTTCGTGAAGTTGAGAAAATGTGTGAATGCTCTTAGCACCCCCCGGGGCCACATCAAATGAAAAACCAGACAACTTTGGAGCAAAGCAACTCCCATCATTAGCTGGTCTTGTGTTCCTCCTGCTCCTGGGTTTCTCATGGGGAGGAAGAAGATGATCATCGGCTGGCCAGCTTTCTAACCGGGTGCTTCTTTGGCTTAATTGGAAACAACCAATTAAGCAGATGCCATCAAAGCAATGTGTGTTCATCAGGAATGCATCAGACTTAGGGGAGGTTTACAGCTTTACACAGAGGTGTCATTGGGTACATTTACACCCCTTTAATTCACTGGAACCATCGGCAACAATTTTATATGTTGGACTAGACTGTGTATCACAAATGATCCTGCATTGCCTCTTCGAGTCTTTCCCAGCCATGAAATTGATGCCCCGAGATCCGTGGCACAGGCTTTGGGATTTGCTTGGCCAGGATTCTCTTGGGGCTTTTTCGCTTGTGGATTTACACTGCTGTGCAAGTGGTTGTACTTCATATACTTTATTTTTTCTTCAAACATATACATATCTTTCCAATAATGTGCATTAGAATTTGCTTAACAACATAAAACGCTACCCCTAAAACTCTACTTCCTCAATGTCGCTTGTGGGGTCATCCTTTCTTCTCAACCATATATATTGAATTTATTGTTCTTTTTGTCCTTTTATGATATACACCCATATATCTACAGTAGTCACAAAGTTTTATA